GAAATATTCTATATATATTATTAATATAAAAATTAAATAATCAATTAATATATAAATAAATAAATAAATAAATAAATAAATAAATAAATAAATAAATAAATAACTAAAAATGCGTGTTTTAATATTTAAATTAAAACTAAAATATATACTTTATCAGTATGCTAAATTAAATTTAGATTTTTTAAATTATTTATTGAGGGAATTTCTTTTTTATATTTAATTAATTATTAATTATTATCCGCTTTTTTTTATATATATATTTTTAACTTTTTTTCAAATTATTTGTTGTACTGTTTTTTTTTTTTTTATAAATATATATATATTGAATAAAAATTATTTTAATATTATAACTTATGAAAAAAAAAGAATAAATTGATGGAGAAACATTTATATTTGATGTATATTAATATTTAAAATCTAAAAATACATAAACAAATGATTACTTATATTTAAAAATACCTGACACTGTGTATTTTAGACTAGGAGAACCATATGAATGGTATTTTACTGAAGAATATTCAAACTCAATAAAGAAAAAACTGAAAGATAATATAAGTTTAGAAAAAATAGAATAATAATTTTTAAAAACAATACCTGAAAGTGGTTGTGTAGCAGTTTTTATAAAAAAGAACTAGGGCAAATCTGTAAATTAGTTAATATATGATTATTAAGATATAAATAAATTCAGTTATTTTTTAAAAATATAATAATAAAATATTATATTAATGATTTTTATAATTTAATTTAAAAGAATTATTTATGAAAGATAAAGATTATGAAAGAGAAGGCTATTTAATTAAATTTATAGATTCTAAAGGAGAAAGAAATTGTAAAATTTTTGTTATATTTATATAAAAAAAAAAATATTAAAGTTATTTTTAAAACTACTTATTCATAAAAATATATATAAATCGAAAAATGGGAAAATAATAATTTATATAAAGATGAAAAAATAGATTTATATGAAAAATTGTTGAATATAGAATAATTTTACAAAAATTAAATAACTATAAGTATTTAAATTTTTATATATATAGATAGATATATTTTTAAAGAAAATAATATATAAAAAAAAGCTGCACTCAAAAGTAAATCTTTATAGACCAAAATATAAAGTATTTGTGAGAATATATATAACCATTTATAAATAGTTTCAAACAATAAAATTATTCCAATATAAATGGAGTTAATATTCAAATAAAGTTCAAAAAATGAAGTAAATATTTTTTTTATTTTTATTTTTTTATAATATTATATATATTTTAAATATTAATTTAAATAGATAATATTAATATTTATATCAAAATTAATAACTCAATAAACATATATTTTAAAATCAAGAATTCCTTGCGAACATTTAATTCCAGTTAATAGTTATCAATAACAAAATTAGAATTAATTTAAATTAATAAAGAATAAAAATGATGTTTTTTGTCAAAATTGTAGCAAAAGAATAATTACGAAAGAAATTTAAAAAGTCGATTTATAAATGATTATTTCTTCTTGGATTTTTAATCATAACTAAACAGATTAAAAAATAAATAGAAAAAAAGAAAATAATATAATATAACATAACATTACTTCAAATTATAAAATTCCTAAGATAATAAGAGAATTATACCCTGATTTAAATGAATAATAATTTTTTAAAATTTATTAAAATACAGCTTTTAAAGTTAATAAAGTAAATGTTTGTGAAGATTGTTATTTAAATATTTTAGATGGTGCTAATAATACTTAAAATATTAAAATGTTAATAAAATAAGTAGAAAATACAACTTAGAAATAAGAATAATAAACTATAAAAAAAAAATTATAGTTTTCAGTCATTTAGTAATATATATATATATATGTTTAATTAAATATATATATTTATTTATTTAATATATATATATAAATATATATATTTATATATATTCATACACATATTTTTTTTTTACTTTATACATTCTTATTATAGAGAGATTAAATTTAAAAAGAATAAGATAACTTACAACTATTTTAAAAGAAAAATTCACAGAAACAAAATATTGATAATTAATCATTAATTTAAAAATTAATGTAATAAAGTCAATTTAAAATTAAAAGTATAACAAATAATGATAATCTCAATTTAGAATTAATAAAAGTTAAAACAGAACCATCATAAGAATATATATTTAAGTAAGACTAAATAAAAGATTAAACTTAATAATCTTTCAAAACTACATAAAGATCCTTTTTGAGTTTATATAAGACAAACAGTAACTTTAGAATAAAATAAAATGAAAAGAGAAATAATTTTAAAAATAAAGAATAAATATCAGCGAAAATAAAATATTCTAATAATGACTTAGATAAAATAAAATATAAAAAAAGTAAATATCTTAAATTATTTTCGACTTCTGTTTTAAAAAATGAATCTAATATATTATTTAATTAAAATATAGATTGAAAAAAAAATATTATTTTTAATTAAAAAAAGCATATATATTTATAATCTTAAAAAAATACAATTTTTAATTATAATTTACTTTATAAAAAAAAATATTTTATTAATTTAGATAATTTTAAAAAATCATATATTTAAATATCATTAATTAATTTTATAGAAAATTTAATTAATATATTTAATAAGAATAAATATATATTTAAATATATATAAAATTATATAAAATAAATAAAAAATATAATAATCAATTTTATTTAAAATCTTTAGATTTTAAAAATATAATAAAAAAAAATATATATAACATAAGGTAATTTAAGAATATTTATTTGTATTGTATTAAATTTTTGATTTATTTAAAGTAATAAAATAAATAATAATATTAATAATAATAATAATAATAATAATTAATAATAATAATAAAACATTATTTCTAATATTCATAATATTTATTTTATTTATATATAAATTATACATATCATTATTTAAATATAATTAAAAAAATTATTTAAATAAAAATTTTTACTAATTTTATTTAATATATTTTTATATAAAAAAAATAAAATTTGTTTTTAATAAAACATTATTTCTATAAATATCATATATATAGTTTTTTTTATAATATTAAATAATTTTAGCCTTTTTTTAAAAATAATATTTATTATTAATCAGTCTTCAAATATAAAAGCTCATATTTATAGTTTTTTTAAAAAAATAATTATATTTTGTAATAAGATAATGTGTATTTTTCGTTAATAATTTTAATAAAATAAATAAAACATAATTTTATTAAATATAACAACAAAAACAATATTTTTATTAGGTTTTACTATTATTTTTATTATCCTTTTTTTTAATTATTATCTGTTTTAATATTTTTTTTACTTTTTCAAAAAATAAAGGAATTAAATTGATATATAACTTAATTATAGTTTTTCTAAATATTTATAAAATTTATTTTTTTCTTTTTTTAATTATATTGAAACTTTAAAAATAATCAAATACATCATGTATTTCAATTTTTTTTAATTTAAAACATTTAATATTAATACATATAAACATAATTAATTTAAGAAACATTAAATAATTTATTTAATACATGAAATAATAACAATATTTTAATTTCTTAAGTTTATGTTTCTTTTAAATTATATTCAGATTTATGTGTTATTCTTTCTATTTGATAGACTAATTTTATTATTATTTATTTGGAATCTGTTCTGGTTGTTAATAACTAAGAATACTAATACAGTCATTGTTGACCCTATTGAGATTATTCAAAAAGTTTAGTTTATTTTTAATAATATATTAGAAGCAACCTTTATTTCAGAAATAGATGTTTTTTAACTATACAAATTTATATTTTATATATTATTCATTTTTTATTATTATTTTTTATTTTAAAATAAATAATATTTTTACTTATATTATTAATTAAAATAATTATATTAATGTTTTTTTTTTTTTTAATGTGAAATAGCCTAAAATTAATTTTATTTTATTATTTAAATAAATAATATAAAGGCAGTTTGTCCGAGTGGTTAAGGAGGGCGACTTAAGATCGTCTGGACGTAGTCCGCGTGGGTTCAAATCCCACAGCTGCCATTTTTTTTAATATTTATAGATTTTTTATATTAATTTAATAAATTAAAAAATATTAAAAATTTTTTTAGACAAGAAATAATTATAGTAATTACAAAAACATGAATTTAATCTAAATTATAAGAATAAAAAAATTAAAATTTATTATTTTTAATAATATGCTTTTTTATAATTTAGAATATCAAAAAAAAAAAAATGTGTAATAATTAGTTTTTTTTTTTAATCATTTTAAACTATTAGGAAATCTTTCAAAAATATTCTATTAATTTTATCTTTAAGAATTTTCATTATTAGACAATTATAAAAAATCGTTTTTAAAATCTTTTTCTTTTTTAAAAATTTATATATTTTTATTTTTTATATTTTATTAATATTTTATTTCTTCTTTATCTTCAATAAATCTTTATTTTTATTTAATTTACATATTTTTTTTTTTAACAAAAAAAATACCTCATACTATGTCCCATACTACCATCTAAAATTCCAATGTTTTCGCTATTATATGAACAGGAATAAATTTAGCTGAATTTATCATCTTCTTATTATTTATATTCACATTAGAATTTTACATTTCTAACAGTTAAAGCTTATGAATCACTCTTTCTTCTTCCAGAATTTTAAGAAATCTAAGCATTAAATGTCGAGTGATATTCTTTTTAATACAATAATATTTACTCAATAATACTTATATATGTTTCTTATATATGTTTTTCATTATTCTAAAAATAACAATAGCAAAATTAAATGAAATTCTAGAATAAATTAAAGCTTTGTTATCCAAATAATTTCCATTTATTAAAAAGTTTCGATAATTATAAAAATCCTTCGAATTATGTAATTATTTTTGAAATTAAAAGCTTAACTTTTTATTAAATTTCCACAACATAATTATTTTCTTTATATGAATTCATTATTGTTTGTGTAAAATAATTTAATACGTTTTCGTTATTTTTTCCTTATTGTTTTTTGTTTATTATTATTATGGCGTTTTTTATCTTTATTTATTCATAAATTAAATGGATATCGACACAATATATTTACGGGTAATAACTATTTAATATGCAAGGAATTTTTTATACATCTTTAATATTGTTTGTTACTATAATTACTTATCTAGAAATGTCTAAACATTTATTTAAATGAATTATATTGTTTATTATAGTATAATCACTTTTTAATTAACCAAATTAACCTTGGCCTGTCAAAATTAATTCTACGTTATCTGAAAGTCTACATTATTTACATTCTTTTTGTATTTCGATTAATTCTAATTAATTTTAAGATAATACATATACTATGTTACCTTATTCAGCTAACTTTTTATAATTTTTATATAATTATTTTTTTATAAAAATTAATAAATATTTTTTAATATAAAATATAATATCTTGATTAAATATTTGTCTTTTTTTTTTATTAATAAAAATGTTATCTTCAATATATTTTTTTTTAGATAGAAATATTATTTGAAATTTTATTATGCCAAAAAAATTAATTCACATTTTTTTATTTTTTAATTTAATTAAAATTGCAAGTTATAAATGTTTTATATTTTATTTTATTACGTTATATGTATTTGACATTATATTTGTAAAAACAATAGCAACTGAATTATCTTATTATATAAATTCAGAAACAATTTAAGAAATATATTCTTTTCGATTAATATCTTATTCAAGTTAGTGTCTATTAACTAAATTGGAAAGAATAAAGCTATCTTGGTTTTCATTTGAAATAAAAAATAATTTATTAGTAATTGCATATTCGAAAAATTCAGTTATTGTAATTTCTTTTTATGTTTCATTCAATTATTAAATTATTATTTACGTATTTGTTTCAGTTTATTCTTCATTTTATATTTATTTTTATTCTGATTTATCACTTTCTTGAAAAATATGCTCACTTTTAGGATAAAAACAGCATAATATATGCGTTTATAAAAAAGATTTTTTTTATTTTTTTTATTCAAGTAAAGGTTATTATTATTCCATAATTGCAAGAAAAAAAGGAAAGTTTTTTTATAAACCTAAATATATTATTTTATTAATTAAATACGAATATATTTTTTTTTTGAATTTGTACTTAAAAAGCTATTTATATATTTATATTTAATTTTTATGAGTTTTATTAAAATAGTTCAAAAATGATTTTTTTTTAATTTTTTAGATTTATATATTATCTTTTTGATATATTTTTTTTAAATTTTAAAGTTAAAAATAATATTATTTAATTAATTGTTATATTATTTCTTAATATTAATAACTTTTAAATAAGAAATTAATCTAAAAGAAAAAATAGTTAAATTTTAAAATAAAAAAATTTATAATAGATAAATGTATTATTAAGTAATATTTTTTTTAATATTCAAAAAACTTTTAATATAATTATTGTTGATTGATATATATAAAACATATAATTTTTATTTTAATCTAGAATAATTGAATATCTTATATTTTTTAGTCATTTATTTTAAATTAAGGCTATGAGAAATTAATAAGTTTATTGTTTATAACAAAAATAATTTTAACTTTTATAGTTTTAAGTATAATTTATATTAATTTATCCTATATTTATTTATAAATATATAACTATAAATTATTTTAAATTATGATATTTATTATAAATAAAATAAATAAAAATTTACGTTTCAATCAACATATATAAAAAACCAAAAATTCTAAAAAATTCATTACAGTTTAACAACAATCTAAATAATCTAAAATAATTATATTTAAAAATAAATACATTATATATATTTTTAAAATAAATAATGAATTAATTTATATTTTAAATAAGTATATTATATTTTCTCATATTAATTAAAATAAGTTAAATTATAAAACAAATAAAAAATAAAATTTATAATTATAAAAAATAAATATATTTACAAAATTTTTTAAATAAAAAATAAGTGCAAAGATTAAACATTAGTATTTTAAATTATTTATTTTATAATCATAATTTTTTTTTACAAATTTTATTAACCCTTATTATTAAACAAAAAACAAAAAATTGAAATGCAAATATATATGCATAAAAGTATATCATTAAAAGCAAAAACATTAACAAAAATTCCATAAAGGTTCTGCCTCATCTACTTTATTATATTATTTCCAATTTTCAATATATATAACCTTTTTTAACTTTGAATCTTCTTTAAAATTAATTTTATGCTTTTTTTCATTATGTATAATTTATTCTCCATATGTATCATATCTTTAAGTTTATTTTGGATAATTAGTTGCCTTTAAAATACCCTTTTTTTCTTTTATTGATTAAAGTTCACATTATGAGTCAGTATATTATTAATTTAATTTTAAAATATGTATATGTTATTTATCTATTAACTTTTATTTTAATTCACTTTATTATATTTTATTTGAATAATTTATCATGTTCATTTCTAATTGAAACTTAAATTGCATTTTTATAAAATATATTAAGCTATTTTTTGTTTGTTTTTTTTTTTGAGAAGTTTAAAAAAAAAAAAACTAATTTTTAAAATAATTTTTATAATTAAATTATAAATAATAATAATTATAGGTAATTACTTTAATTTTATAATATGTTATGTATCTCGATTATTGTTTATTTTTATATTTCTTATTAAAAAAAGAAAAAAATATTGTAAAAAAATAAAAAATTAATATCAAAATAGGTTTATATATTATATTAATAACTGATAATATTAAAAAAAATGTAAAAATAATTTTAGTAATATTTTATATAAAAATAATTTTGAAAATATTAGTTTTTGATAAATAAATAAATAATTAAAAATATTCTATTATTTTTGTTTATTTTTTTTTAAATATAAATTTATGATATAAAATAAAAAGCAAAAACATAAAAATATTTTTATATTTTTTATAAATTGTTTAAAATTCTATTAATTGTGCATTTATTTAAATCATTAAATAAGATTATAATTTAAAAAATCATTATTTTTTTCCGAAAATATTATTCTGTTTTAATTTTATTAAAAAAATATATGAATTAATAAAATAATTAGATATGAAAACATATATAAAATAATTATATATTATAAAATAATATAAAAAAAAATTTAAATTTATATATTATAAATTAAAAATTAAAAATATATAATATTATTTAAATATTTAAATAAAAATATATATATATATATATATATTTATATATATATATATTCTTCATGTATATATTAATATATATAAAATAATACATATATTATATTTTTTCTATATATTTTTTTATTTAATATTTTTAATAAATACTTTTTTATTTATACAATTTTATTTATTAATATTTTATAAATTTATATATAATTAACTAATTATTTTTATTTATTAAATAATAATTAATATTTAAAAATAAATTACATCATTTAATAAATCATCAACTTCTTTCATAAAATCATCAGGTGGATTTAATTTATTATCAAGTGCTAACTTTAGAGCCTCATGAAAGACTTTTACAACGTTAGTACCATCTGCAGCAGATACAAAATAAAAAGGTAAATTATTTTATGAAGCAAATTTAAATTATTTATTAGTGACATCTCTATCAACTTTTTTTATTAAATAGAATATTTTAAAACACATAAAGATATATATATAAAAATACCATCAATTTTATTTGCTATTAAAATACAAGGAATGTCTGGACAATACTCTCTCATTTCTTAATACCATTTTTTAAGATTTATATATGTTATTTTTCTAGTAATATCAAATACTAAAATGCAGACATTAGCTTTAAAATAATAAGAAGAATGTAAAGTTTAAAATTATTCTTATCCTGCAGTATCCCATAAATCTTTTTTTTTAAATATATTATATATATAATAATAAAAAAAAATATTAAATATATATAAAAAAATAAAATAAAAATAAAACCTATTTTATATTATTTTCCATCAATATTTGCAACATGACGATACATTGTTAATGCATAAGTAGAAAGATTTCTCTCTTCACTTAATTAAAGATTTATTGAAATTAAAATTAAAAATATATATTTATAAATAAAATATATAAATATTAAATATATTTATTATTTTCTAAATATATATCTTATTTTATATTATTATATATTATAATATTTTTGCCATACTAATCATTTAAAAGAAAACGTTCTACTAATCTTTTTTTTAATATATTATTATAATTTTTAATATTTTAATTATATTTTTATTTATTATAATTTTACTTCGATTTTCCTACTGCAGAATCTCCTAACAATATTACTTTTAAATCGCATGGAACGAATTCTTTTTCATCATATTCTTTAATATTTTATTTTTTATCCATTTTTAATTTATATGTTTATTAATTTTTTATTTTATATAATTTTGATATTTATATTGTATATTATATATATATAAATTTTTCTTTTTTAAATTAATTTTTTTTTTTACATTTTGATTAACAACTAAAATATATTAAATTTTAATATTATATAATGCTATTTTAATAGAATTTTTTTTACAAAAAAATTATTATATAATGTTATTTAAATATATAACACATTAAAAAAGATTTTATTAAAGTAAATTTAATAAATAATTTAAAATTAAAAATATAATAATTGCGATATATAAATACATATATATAAATACTTAAATATAATTTTAAATTTACAATAACAAACATATATAATTATATTAATATAAATATTATTTTATTTTTTTGTATATTATATTATGTATATAAAATTATATATAATAATAATTGTTATTTATTATTTATAAAATATCAATAATAAATAATAATTTTAATCTACAATATTAAAATTATCAATTTTTACTATCTTCCTACTAAAATAATATTTTTTAACACAAATATTAGTTTTTTTAATTATCTACTGTTTCTAAATTATATTTATTATTATTTTCAAAAGGACTTAATATATTCAATTAATTTTAATTTAATGAATGCGGAGTAAAATTTGATATAGCAGTTAATAGAGTGCATGCAAGTGAATCTTCAGTTTCTAAACTTAAAAATATATCACTGCAGTTTTAATTTCTGTGTTTTTAGTTATTTTATTATTTTGTTTCTAATATTTTTATATCTTATTACTCTAAAATTGATTTTTCTAAGTTTTATGTTTCAATTTCTAACTATTATATGTATTACTCGTTATTTTATGTATTTAATATATTTTTTTCAAATAATTAATTATTTTTAGCAAATATTTCGTCTTTAACCATTCCATTAGAACACCTTTATAAAGGAGAATTTGTTTAAATGGATTTATTATAATAATAACTTTTTTAATTATATTTAATATGAATAAATTATAAATAAATATATAATTATGATTTTTTTTTAATGAATATATAATATATTTGTTTTTAAATTGTAAATTACTTCGTTCCAATTTTGCATTTCTTAATTAAATCTCTGAAATTTTTTTATTTATTTATTTATTGTTTTGGAGATATAAGAATATTTGTCGATTTATTAATTTTATTTTAAAATTTTTATATTTCATTAAATGACTTTTCTTATTTAAGGCAAGAAGCTTAATTTTATTTATGTTACTTTTCGAATTCAAAGATTTCTTTTTATTACTTTTATATTATTTAAATTAATTTCTTATTATTTTAGAAAATTATTTCTTCGTTGTTTTTCTAAAATTGTGAGTTTAGATTGCCTTATGGTTTACACTTAATTTATTTCTAGTTACTACTCTGATTTATAATCTACTTCTAAACCATGTTAAAGCAATCTTCTTGAAAATTCATTAAATAAAATATATATATATATATATAATCTATGAAAATATTTATATATATAAATATTTTATTTATATATTTAAACTGATTTTTTTAATTTTTTTTTTTTTATATATTTATTTATGAAAATAAATGATTCAAACAGTTAAATTTTATTTTTAATTTTAATTATGTTTTTATCATAATATTACAAAATATATTATATTAGTCAATAAATTATATTTAAACCATATTATGTAAAATAAAAAAGTTTTGTTTATAATTTATTATTGGTATAAAATATTTTTAAAAGTAAAGCTTATGTTTATTTAAAATTATAGTTTAAAAAAATAAATTAATTAAATATTTTTTAATTATTTATTTAAATAAAATTTAAAATTAAATTGCTTTTTTTTTCAAATATAAAAATTGTAATAAATTTATTTAAGGTTAATATAATAATGAAGAAAATAATGCTTACATAAATTTATTTAAAAAAAATTATAAAAATCTTTTTAAAACATGTAATATTTATTTAAATAATATTTATATGATTAAGTTATTTTTAAATATAATTTTTACTTATTTATATGTTTATTTATATATTAATATATTTTTTTATAAAATTTATTGGAATAATGCTTGTTATTTATAAAGAAATTCAAAAATTTTGAATCATTAAATATAAACTAGTTATATTTACTTTTCTAATCGAAATGCGGATTTTAATTTTTAGAATAATTAAAAATAAAAAAAAATTATTAAATTTTAAACTATTATTATTTATAATTCTTAAAATTTTATTTTAATTAAGTAAATTATTAATATATAAACTAAAAAACTAAAAATCTTAAAAAAAAATGTTATCAAAATTATCTAAAAATATATATTTTAAGCAACATATATTCTATAAACAAATTTAAAATTATTAAATTTTAAACAAACTTCCAGAAAAATATTAGCCATATATAAAATTAGCAAGATATGATAAGCCAATAGGTGCTACATTATTATTTTTGCCATGTACATGGGGTGTAGTATTAGGATAACCAATATTTAATCCACTTTAATGTAAAATAAAAGTATAAAAAATATTAAAAAACTTTAAAAAAAACTATACATAGTGGTACATTTAGTAAGTACACTCTGGTTTGGATCCGTAGTAATGCGAGCCGCAGGTTGTATAGTAAATGATATGTGGGATAAAAATATAGATATTCATGTAGAAAGAACAAAAGAACGTCCACTAACAAGTGAATAATTAAACTTAAAATAAGCCAGTGTTTTACTTTCTTTAAATTTAACAGGAGGATTATTAACTTTGACTTAATTAAATTTATATTCTATAGCTTTGAGTTTTTCGATAGTTCCTTTATGTGTAATATATCCTTTATGTAAAAGATTTACAAATTATCCATAAGTAGTATTAGGTAAAAAATAAATAATTTTTTTATATTTTAAATTTTTTTAAAAAGGATTTTGTTTTACTTGGGGTTCTATAGTTGGATATGCAGCAGCTGGTAGTACATTATCTCTATCATCTAGTGTAATACCAGCATATTTAGGAGGTATTCTTTGGGTTCTTATATATGATACTATTTATGCTCATTAAGATAAAAATGATGATGCGAAAATTGGTGTTAAAAGTACTGCGCTGGCATGGGGAAATTAAACAAAAAATGTAATGAAATTTCTATGGGTGGCTTAATTAGGGCTTTTTTTAATAAGCGGAAATATGGCAGATTTATGTATTTATTATTATCCATGTTGTTTAGCAAGTCATATGTATTTGCTTAGGCTTATAAATGATTTCAAAATGGATGATAGATAAACTTGTTGGAAATTTTTTGTCAATAATAAAAATTTTGGGATTTAAATGTTTTTGTCATTTTTGATAGGAAAGCTATTTGTAACTTTAAAAGAAAATGATGAAAATGAAAGCGATATAAAATGATTTTTATGTTTAAATTTAAATAAATTTTTTATAATATTTTTATTATACTTTTTTCTTATTTATATATATATTATAATTAATATAATATAATATGGATATAAAAATATTTAAAATATGTATAAATTAAATTAAATATATATATATTTATTTATATATATATTATATAATTTTATAAATATATATATAGATATATATATATTGATATATAATTATATATTTCTTATTCTATTTTATTTTTTTAATATTTTTTATATTTATTTTTATATTTCTTTTATTATTTTTAACCTAATTTTTTTTTTTTTTATTTAACTATTTTATTTTTGTATTATTTATTAAATAAAATATGTATATATATATGTATATATATATATTTATATATATATATATATTATTTACTATCAAAATGCAATAAATTATAAGCTTTATATATAAATATTATATTGTTAATAAAAATTATATTTATAATTAATAATTATTTTTATATATTTAATTTTATAGAGTTAAATTTAAATATATAATATTTAAATTAATAAACTTTATTAAATATGTATTAATTATATTTTTATTTTACTTTATATGTTATTATTGTTATTACTCATTATATATATTGATTTGATCATTTTTTTATTTTATTTTTTTAGTATTTTTTTTTTATATTTATAATTTACGTAATAAAGAAAAAAATAATTAATTTTTTTTTTTTTTTAAATATTAGTTAAATAATATATATTTTTCATTTTTATATGATACAAATTAAAAAAAAGAAAATTTATATAATAAAAATTGTGAATTAAAATTAAAAATTATTTATCAATAAATGCTTTTTCTTTCACAGAAAGAATAAAAATATATAAATATTTTGAATAAAATATAATATATATCTTCTTATTTTTTTTTATTTTTCCTTCAAATCATTATGATAAAATTAAAGCAATAATAAGTCCATACAATCCCAAGGCTTCAGCAAAAATGAGAATCAAAATCATCCCAACGAAAATTTTATCTTATTAAGCATCTAAATTATTAATTTAATAAATAAATTAATATATAATATATTAATAAATAAATTAATATATAATATATTAATAAATAAATTAATATATAATATATTAATAAATATACTAGCTCTAACACCAGCATCTCCAACTATTCCAATAGCTAATCCTGCAGCCTATTGTTTTATTTATTTATTTTTAAAAAAATTATATATTTTTTATTATTGTTTATAATTACTAAAGAAGATAAACCACAACATAAACCAGCAGCAAGGTGAGAATAACAACTGTGACTATCGTATCCAGTTTTACCAACTTTTTATAAATAAAATAAGATATATATATTTTTTTTAATTTTTCACAAAAAAAGTAATAATTTTTTAATACTTTTCTAAACAAGAATAACTGCAACAATCATACCATAAATACCTAAAATACCTGCCATAACTACAGGAATAATAGATTTCATAATTAATTCAGGTTTTAATACTCCCATAGATGAAATACCAACTCCAGATTTTGCAGTTCCGTATGCAGCTCCTAAGTCTTTAATTTTTAATTTTTGTTTTGTTTAAGATTATTTATTTATATTTATTTAATTTACTTGCAAAAACTAAGGCACTTGCGACACCAATAAAACCGAAGAAATAATTAATACCATTTTCTTAATCGTCAGCGACAGGAGCCATTTTTAATTATTGTTTTTTTTAAAAAATTTTTTTATTAAAATAAATATTTATATATATATAATTGTTTAATAAAGGTATTTTTATAATATGAATATTTTATTATTTTTTCTCCTTGAATGTAATTTAAACTGAGAAAAAAATATTTTATTTAAAACTAATAGAAAAGAAATAATTATTAAAAATATATTTAAATATTTTATTCGAAGTAAAATAAATATCAATTATTAATTAATTTTTTTTTTTTAAATAAAAATAAATATATTTTTTTATTTAATATTATAATTTTTTTTTTTTTTCTTAACTATAAAAATTAGTTTTTAATTTTTTTTTTTTTTTCTTATATCAAATTTGTTAAAATTTAATAATTGTATTAAAATATATTGTTGTATTTTTGTTTTATATGTCTATTTAAAAAATAGAATTATATAATCATTTTTATTAAAAAACATATTAATAACTTATTTATATTTTAATTTTAATATATTAATTAATAATTATTAAGTTCATTAATTATTATATTTTTTTTTATAAGATAATAATTATATATATTATTAAAAAATATAATTTTATTCATTATTTTTTATATAATCCTATATTTTAATTATAAATGTCAATAAGTTTTATGATCATTTCTCTAATTTCGTTTTAATTGCTTAGAATACATTCATTAATATAGAGCATTAAATATCCAATATGTCCTTTTTAATTATCAAATAAATTATTATTAACTAATTAAAAATTAACTCCATTATTTTGATATTATGTTAAATTAAGAATATTTTTAAATGCATTTGGTGGAATATTCATATCATAAATATTTTATAAAAAGTGCAAAAATTATTATTTTTGATATCTATATTGATTATATTGATTTTTTATTTTTTGTTAAATAAATTAAAAAAATATATTTTACGTTGTAATTTTTTTATTCGGATCGTTTAATACTTATAAATATTTTTCGAATATTTATTTTACTCTATTAATTAAAAAAGGGAGGAATATTATAGAAATATTCATTCTTTATTCCGAATATTCTTTTTTGAAATTACAAATTTAAAAAAGTGCTTCTAAACAAAATTATTCAAAAGTTTAGATTTGATTTTTTTATAATTATTTTTTAAATTCTTCTGACAATAGAGTTTTTTATAGCGATAAATCATGAGTTAATTTACCAAATTAAAATAATAATTAAGAATCTATTTTTTTATTACAGACAACAAAACCTTTTAAAACAAAGAGTAAAATAGTTTTATCAACATCTATATGTATTAATGCTTATTAAATATTAATAAATTCAATAAAACCTTATTTAAAAAATTATAATTAAATTGAATAAAAAAATAAATACCTTTATTCTTTTCTAAGCATTCTTATAATAATTCAATACATATTTTAAATATATTTTCATATTAATTATCTTATTATACTATTATTTCTGATATTTAAGAAAATGTAATACAAGCATCAAACCATATTGGATTTATTAAATTTTAATTTAAATTATTTTAATAAAAGTCATTATATTATTTATTGTATTTAAGTTTAATCAATTGTGTTAATGAGTTTATTATTTCTAAACTATATTTTAAATTAACTTTTTGTCTACAAAAAGATTTAATAAAACAAAAACAACTTATAATTATTAAATTATTGAAAATACATAATACATCAAGTTGTAATATTTTTTTAAAAAAACCGAATAATAAATTTTTGTAAAATTTCTATTTTTAACTTATATTGAAAGCTATTTAGTTAAAAAATTCGTCTATTTTAGAGCTTGTGATTTTATTTGTTTCAATTATTTATAAAATTATTTCAAAAGATTATTTAATCATTTAATTATGTTCTTTTTTTTTAAACTTATTATTAGATGTTAATATTGTTTCAGAATAATTAAAACATTCCAGTAAAAAATCTATAAAAATATTCTTTTTTTTAAAAAAAATAAAATAAAAACATATAAAATTTAATAATTTAATATAAAATATTTTTTTTACATTTTTATCTATTAATTCTAAAATTTTATTTTATATAATACTTAATTAGAACATTATTTCTTAAGAACAAATAACTATTTATTTAGGAAATAGTTTTATATATTTCTGTGAATTTATTAAACAGCTTTTAATTATTTTGGTTAAATTAAAATTCGAAAAATCGCCCAAAATTACAAAATATAATTATATGCAATCACTAACTGAATTGTTTTAATTATCTTAGATAAAATTTAAACTTTCCAATTATATTATTGATTTCAAATTTTTAAAAGCAGTTAAAGAATTTATTTTATGTTATATTTTATTTTAATTTTTTGGTGTAAGCTATATAGAAGATTTTCTTTATATTTTTTTTTCCTTTTGATTACTTTAAGTAAATTTTATAGATATTTCAGTTATAATGTTAAGTAATAAAATACTTGTTTTTTCCCATTAAAGTATTTCTTTAGATTTATTGTAATCAATTAAATTTAATATTATTTTTATTGTTTCACAAGTAATTTTATAAATTAATTCAAAATAAATACAATCTATCCAATATTATTATCTTTTAATAATTTTTATAAAAATAAAAATAAAATGAATATGTATATGTATATGAGTATATAGATATAATTGTATATATAAATATGTATATATATATATATATGTATATATATATATATATATATATATATATATATATACATATATTAATTTTATATATTTTTTTTATATCTATTTTACATTACGTAATATTATTATAATAGCTTTATATGCAATAGTTAAATTAATTAATTGATAATTATCTAATATTGTAGTTTTTGGAATAGCTAAGTTATGTAAAACATTTTAATATTTTTTAGAAAATATATTATTATTTTTAATTGTCTTATTTATCGAAATCTTATAATATTTGGTTTATGCTTAATAATATATAGTTAATAATTTTCTCATTCAAAACTATTTTTTGTTTTAATTAAATTATAATTATATAAAAATTACTAAAGTTTTTTATAATATTATTATAAATTTCTATTAATATTTCAATATTATTTTTATAATCTAAAGATAATAAAATGTTTAAAACAAATTCTATTATTTTTTCATTTTTTTTATTTGATAATTCACAAATTAATTAAAAATTATTTTCGAAATGAGGAATTTTTTATAAAATTTATAAACAAAAAACTATAAAATTTGTATCTTAAAAATCAATTGCATTAATAATTATTTAGAAAAAATATTCTATAAACTTATCACTTTACTTTTATATAATATTTAACAAAAAATTAATAAAAATATAATTTTTTTCAAGCTTATTTTCATTAAGGAACTCGTGAATACATTCTTTAGAAATTTATAAAAAGTTTAAAAATTTTTCTTATTCTATATTATTAATAATTTCCTCAAATTTCTAAACTTCATTAATCTAATTTTCTGAAATAAAATTAATGAAAATTTTAAAAGTATTTGTATCAAAATTTTAAATGTTTTTTTATAATAATATAACTCTTAATTAATTTATAAAATTTTCATTTTTTTGTTTGAAAAAAATTGATTTTTAAAATATTTATTCAATTAAATTTTCAAAATTTTTTTTATTTTATTCTTCAAGCAAATAATATTATGATATTTCTTATAATAATTCAATTATTTCCTCATAATATTTTTCGAAATTTTCTTTTATATTTATTTATATTAAACTTTCCAGTATCTAGTTATAAGAAATAAATATTTATTGATTTAAAAATTCTTTATTTTCTAAAGTTTTTATATTTTTATGAAAGCTTTTGCAAATTTTAATTATTATGACAAAAAATTCTTAAAAGTCTATAAATTAAAGTTCGTTTATATCAATAATATGATCATAAGAAATACTTTTCTTTTTATTATCAACAATTTATTTATTAGAAAGATATTATTATAAAACCTATTAAATTTCTTAAAATAAAAAATGCAAGTTAATTTCTTATTAATCAACAAGCTTATTTTATTAAAGAAGCATTTCAAATGTTTTTTAGTTATCGAAAATATAAAAATAATAGCATAAAATTTAATATTGTAAATTTTAATTATTATTAAAAGAACATATTTAGAAATAAATATCCGTTTTTTTTATTAATATAACAATTTTTTAATTCAATTATACGAATTTTATTTTGTTTAAATCATTATATATATTAAAATTCTTTTAAATAATTTATTAGTTCATATTTAATTAATCTTAAATTTCTTGATTTTCAATAAAAACACTTTCACAATTTTTTAATATATAATTTAAGCAATCTAAACCTTTATATAAAAAAATATTTTACAAAAAATTAATTAAAATATATTTTTTACTTATTTAGACATTTATATTATGTTCTTAAAGTACCATCCACTTAGGATAATTAAATTATAGAGTATTTAAAAAACCTTCTATTATATATTTAAATTTATTCAATATATTTTGATCTTTTTTATATTCTTTTATTGTTTATATACAGCATAATTACATTAATTAAGTCAATATATTATAATTTAAACGTTTCTCTAATTGATTACTAGATTACATCTATATTACTATGTTTATTATCTAATATAAAATTTTAATATTGTTTATAAAACTTATTTTTTACTAAATATATAGGTTTTTTTATATTTTATTTGAAAAAAAGACCAGTTTATTTTATAAATATTAAAAATTACTAAAAATGTATAATCTAATCGAAGTATTGACACATTCTATGGTTTTATTAAATAAACTAAAGTTTATTATATTTTTTAGAATAAATTAGTTTTCTTTATTTGTATCAAAGCACTTAAATATTATAAAATATAAAAGTTATCATCATACTTTTTTTACAAATAAAAATAAATTATTTATAAGGAAGTATTATAAAAGAAAGTTTTGTTATTAAAAAAATATAATAATAACATTTAATGTTTTATATTATTTATTTACATTATTGATTAATTCCAAATTGTATAAACGTTAAATGAATGTCAAAAGTTATTAATTAGGTTTTTATTTTTTTGTATTTAATGATAATGAAATA